TTTGCAGCAAAATGGCTTGAATAGGCCTCCTTTGTCCCTTCTTGGTTAAATATGCTGTTCTTTCCAAAAGCTTTGGAACTTTAAAGAAGTAATTACTGCTACAAAATTAAGAGAATAGCAGCAGATCAGTATAAGACTGAATTAGCTGTGAGACATATATTTAGATATGTGACTTTTGTCTCTTGACTGCACAGCTACAAGATACTTGTAAATACATTTGGCTTCATAATATTATATTGTATCATCCTGTTACACTTTTCACTTAGTGTTGTTCAGTTTTTTACAGTCTCGTGTGCAGCACTGTGTTCTATAAAATTTATTAAAAGTTATTCACTTTAAAGGTTTAAAAGTCCATCACTACATGTTTTGACCAGTGTTGGTCATCATTAAATATTAAAATTATTAGGTGAAGAATCTGCTCTCTTCTGTTGTTAATATATACCATATTTACGCATGTATAGGCCGCACATTTTTTGCCAAAAATTCAAGAGGAAAACTGGGGTGCGGCTTATATTCGAAATCACACTTCATTTAAAAAAATATATTCATAATTAGTAATACAGGGTGTAATACTCCTGAAATAATATTCCAAGAAAATTATTTTTTCTATAATTTCTGTCTGAAAATTGTGCTGCGGCCTATACACGCACGCGGCCTATACATGCCTAAATATGGTAAGTTCTCTCGATGAGCATGTGTTTGGGTTTGGTGGGTTGTGTTCCCTCTTGTTGTGTGTTGTGCTTCATGTCTTGTTCTCAAATGTATTAAACTTTTAAAAGTGAATAACTTTTAATAAATTTTATAGAACATAGTGTTGCACGTGAGACTGTAAAATACTGATCGACACCAACATTAGCTTCAGTTTTCTTACTGTTTGATTTAGTAGCACTAAAATACAGATGGCTTATAAATTCAGAAACTCAAAACAATCTGTGCTTGAACAAATGAAAACTCTTGGTATTCCATCTTAACTTTAATGAAAGGATTGCAGTATATTGGGAAGTTTGTGACATATGTGTGAACAGTAATGCAAATGGTCTTTAGTCATTCTGGGCAAAATTTTGATGTAACAAATTTCATTCTTGGAATTGTTTCCTCACATATGTGAGTTCTTCCAAAAACAGTCGATGTTTTTGCTGCAAGTTCATATATAGTAGGAAATTTTGAACCTGAGAGATGTTTGTAAAATTGCACTCAATTATTTGAATGGAAGGCTTCTGTCAGCATGTCAGTTAGTTCAGGTGGACACATTCCAGGTATTTTTTCTGTTTCAAAGGTGAAGGAGTTCTGAATCAATTAAATGTTGCTGGAGTATTGCTCAATATCCTGGAAATCTGCCTGAAATTCCTTCCTCGGTAACTCTAACCTGTCACTAATTCTTTTATTAGGTAGGGAAATGGATCAGTTTCCCTTCACTCAACTGTTTAGCAAAGAGTCTGTGTTTCTGATGGAAATATTTTATTTCTGAAAACATGTCACAGAATCCTTCAGTCTGATGTTCATATCATTCAGATGCTGCGTGATATCTGACAGCCTAAATTCCATACGCAATCTAGATAATGTAACTTCTCATTAAATTTTCCTTTTTCAGTGAGAGAAATTTTAATTTCATTTTGGATTTCAGAGAGGCATTTGAACAGTTTCCCTCTAGTTAGCCATGTGATTTCGGTACAGCACAGCACAGCACAGCACATATCTCCATACTCTGCCCCAGTTTATGATTAAAACTGCTGGAATTGGTGATGTTTGGGTGTAGACTTTGAAATTAAGTTTACAGTTAGTACAACAATTTCCATGACAGATTCTCAGTTCATAATTTTGTTGCATGATGTTTGCTGGTGAATGATGCAGTAGAGCTGCATGAGAGAATTTTTATTCAGGTGCTCCATTTCAGTGTCTGTGCATTCAGAACACCAAAATTTTTGACAGCCATGTGTCTTGCACCATCAGTGATCACACTATAAAGTTCTTTGCAATTTAACTGAAGACTGTTGAGAGTTTTGGTAAGTTTCAGAAATATGCCTTTCCTAGTTGTTGTTCCGTTTAAGCACTGAAGTCCAGCCAATCCTTATGTAATAACAAATTTTGCATCGATTCGTCACATGAATGTGAGCAACTGAGCATTCTCACATGTTTCACTGCTATCATCAAGAGCTAAAGAAAATGTAGTGAAAATGTGGTGTCACCAATATGTCATTCATTTTTTTTCCCATGGGGGCAGTGGGAGTTCTACCATAGACATGAAACGTCTTTTCACAAATTCACCATTAGTAAATGGGCTGCCTTCTTGTGCTGTTAATTTTGCAACACAATATCTAGCTCACACTGCAGCTGAATTTTCATGAATCATAGCTTTAATATATTCGGATGGCTGGAACAGAATTTTACAGAAGGGGAATTTTCAAACTCCCAGAACGCTGGGAGAAATGTGTACAAAGAAGTGGCGATTATGTGGAAAAATAAAGAGAGGTCTGTAGATTGAGGTGGTGTATTTGGTTTGTCAATAATAAAGCATGTTACTTTACAAAAAATTGTTGCTCATGACTTTCAGTATGACCCTTGTATTTTGTAACACAACAGGATGCATGAAATGAAAAAAAATGTTCTGCCTGCCAGAAAGCTGATGGCAATTGTTTTCTGGGACATGAAAGAAGTGCTGATGGTGGAATTTATGCAACAAGGGACCACAATAATGTGTATTGCAAAACACATGAAAAAGAAAAAACTGCATATGGCCGTTGAGAACAAAAGGCATGGAATGCTGACATTCAGTGTAGTGCTCCTCCATGGCAGTGTACGTCTGCATACAGCTGCTTGCACCTCAGCACTTTAACTGGCAGTTGTTAGACTACCATTCTTATAACACTGATCTTGCTCTGAGCAACAACCACCTGTTTACCTACGTGAAGAACTGATTAGGATCACAGTGCTCCAGTAGTAATGAGGAGTTGATGGAAGGTGTCAAAACGTGGTTGAGCTCACAGGCAACAGACTTCTTTGACACAGGCTTACAAAAACTTATTCTTGATATGACAAGTGCCTCAATTTGGGGGGGGGACTTCATGACTAGGTTGAGAAGTAGCTCAAGTATGCATGTATTTTTTGTATAATTTTTTCTCATTGCTTGTTTTGTTAACAGATCACCAAGTTTATTTTTGTAATAGCCCTCATATTTGACAGCTGTGTGGGGAATTTGTTGTTGTAACTATGCTCAAAATAAGCAGAGCAGCCAACAGCCAGTTTTGAAATAAATCATTACAGAAACTTTGTGACTCACCTGTGTACTTGCAATGCATAAAGTATTGCTGCCACAGCGTTCCACACACTGTAACTTGGTGAATCCTTTGTACAGACACATTTAAAATGCCAGACAAATCCTTTAACAATAATCTTCTGTCCTTCAGCAACCAGTCAGCTTTATCAGTGCTCACATCTGTGACAACAGTGCTTGGTCTCCCACTTCAAGTGTTGTCAACCACCCTTTTATTTCCATCTTTCAAATTCTTCTACTATCAAACCACTGTAGCTCAGCCCACTGCTTCTGTTCCATAAACATTCTGTAACACCTCTAACCTCATTTCACTGGTTTTTTCAGAGCTTCACGCAAAATTCTATTGCACATCTCTGCCTTAAAATACACAAAACATGTTCTGCTCTGTCACTGCAAAACAGGTTTCTCAAACGAGCTAGTACATACTCATATATACAGACAAGTTAATGCTGTCCCTGTGCTTAATTAACTAAGTACTGTGACATGAAGACATAAGGGGCAGTGGAGGTACAGTTCCACCATTACTGACCTTGGTACTAGGTGGAGGTGAGTGGCTAGCTTCATATCCTGATTGCTTTACCCCTGGTACCCATTTGATAGGAGGCTGAGTGGGCCCTGAGCCGGTCGATGTGTGCTCTGGCATGTACCATTTGTGTTCAGTTATGGTAAGATTGTTTTCACCTGAATGTGATGTCTGTTATTTCAAAGACATTTATTCATTCTTCACTGTTTATCACTAAACTGGTCATGAAGATAATCATACTGAATTTTGAATATCTGATGGTTGCAGTGATGTTCAGTTGGTAGAAAGTTGGAATTTTTTAAAGTCTATATTTACATTAGCACAAATGGGGGAGACTAGGAATGCATTTAGGATATTGGTGGGAAAGTCAGAAGGAAAGAGACCACAGGGAAGACCAAGGCATAGGTGGGTGGACAGTATTAGAATGGATAGAGATAGGATGGGATGGTATGGATTGGATAGATCTGGCTCAGGATAAGGACCAATCGAGGGCTCTTGTGAACACGGTAATGAACCTTCGGGTTCCATAAAATGCTGGGAAATTCTTGAGTAGCTGCAGAATTGGCAGCTCCTCCAGAAGGGCTCAGCTCCATGAGTGAGTAAGTAAGTAAGTAAGTAAGTAAGTATATTTTACATTCTGAGCCAGGATACCTGAGTCAGTAAATTGTTAGGCCATGTGTTCAGTAATCAAGATTAAATTACTGGCACAGGAGAAATTGCAATCTTTGTTGTCATTTACATATTAACTCTGAGACTGACCCAGCCTTCTATCTAATGTGTTCTAATGGCTGTTTACCCAAGGTAAAGTGGCTGGATCATGAAGCTGGCCACCCACCTCCACCCAATGCTATGGTTATGAATTGTGAAAATATACCTTTACTTTCTGTGTACACTTTTGTGACTTGGGGTATAGGAACAGAGCATCTTTTCTGTTTTGTAATTGAAAGATTGCCGGGAAGCTTGATTTAAATCTTTTGGCTTGAGAGAATATTTTTACATCATCTTTCTGCCCTTGTTTTGTTTCATTATTCAGATTTGCATTGTCTGTATATTTGTCATTATCATTCTCTTTTAATCAGCCTCCTGCTGCATTGCAGGTAGAAGAAAAAATACCACAGTTTTGTGAGCATTTGTGTGAAGAGGCTTCATTAGGTTTTAAGTAGCATTTATTATGTTATGTACTTTAAAATAATTTTCTTTCTGTAGCAAATCAGCAGAACACCGCAGTGAGTGTTGTGCGAGTGGGGGCTTCTACACAGGGTGATGATAGCAGTCAGGATTCAAATGGCACTTGTGACAGTCAGAATGATGGAAATCCACATGTCAACCTCACAGTCGAGGGTTTTTATCCTCCATCTACGGCCCAGGCGAACAGCTCCGAAGGTAAGAGTGTAGAGGAGCATCTAATGCCTTTTACACACACAAATAGGGGGCACGTGGTAGCGTTGTTGGTTGAGGGGCTATGCTACAATCTGGAAGGTCATGGGCTCAAGTCCCGATGAGGTCACTGGATTTTTTTTCAATTGACCTAATCCTTCCAGCCCCACTATGCCCCTTGTGTTGACCCAGCCTCTAACAGAAATGAGTACCAGGAATTAATTAAATAATTTCCCTGGGGAGTAAAGCGCGGCCAGTGCGTAAGGCTGACAACCTTACCGCCATCTTTGTGCCAATTGTCTAGATAATGTGGGACCCTCAACATCTCACAACCCTGTGGGCCTTAATGTCCTGTTACAGGGATAGCTTCACTTTGCTTACTTTAATAGGAGGTCTGATGAAGTATTAAGGCTCAGTTTGTATCTTAGATAAATTACATAATGCGCTACGCTGTTGTGATGAACATGTTCCAGTGTATTATTGCATTTTGAGATATTTTTTACAGCATGGCATTTATGACATGATTTATTGTGCATGTGCTGTGAAGATTCACTGTTTCTGGAATGGAGGTGGAGGTAAACATTTTGTATGGTGCCTTTCAAGCCATTTTACCTGAAAATTTCTGAATAAATCATATCTCAGACAAGTTTGTTTCATGTCTGCTGACACAGGAGCAAAATATGCTAAATGTGTTACATTGTCATTTCTCAAATTGTAATTTGTTGTTTTCTCTACTGATTATGTAGAAGCTTAATATTTTATGTGTTTATGAGTCTTTGAAAATATGGCAACTTTATTAATTGAATTTTTGTTGCTCGATTTTGTTCCTTCACCACAATAAGAAACATGGATACGCCATGTATTTGTTGTTCTTTTACAACAGGTTTCAGTTCATTGAGCCATCATCAGCTATTTGACTTGTTTATATTGGTCTGCCAGTATTCCAACATTGCCTGGTGTTTACATATTGGAATACTGGTTTTTTTAGTAAGATGTAATACCATTATATATATATAAAATGAGTGTTAACCTTTAAGATTAAGTAATATTAGTTAAAATGTTAAATGCTTAAAATTAAAAATGAAGTGTTTGTAAAAGGTTTTCATGTGTTCTGTTTAGGTGTAATAGTTGTGTGTAGTTTTTCCACTGGTATATTTCTTTGGGATTCTTCCCTGCCTTATATTGATATAGTATGTTTTTTGTTGGCTTGTGGGTATGTGCTTGCATTTTTCTCCCCACTTGTGTTGTATTTGGGAGAAGTGTAGTGTCTTGTATGTGGTTGGTAGTGGAAAGTGACCTAGTGGTGACAGACTGTATTTTTCTGTCTAATAACAATACCTAATAAAACATTGTAACTGAACGTAATGAAATCTGATGTGGAGATGCATCATATTCTGTTTATCAAGAAACAAATGCACAAGCATGTATGAGGGGGATTATTTGAGAGCCTTCTGCAAATTGGTCAGCCAGTCCAGTGAGAGAGAGGCAGGTTCCTTGTAACAGTCGTTCAGTATGTGTTCAGACCTGCAGAGCTGTTGACAAGCCTGTAAGCCAACATGTCACAAGTGTAACTTGTCCAGGTTACAGCTGATGCCAGAAATGGCCCCAGTTATGCACGCTTTCATTGAATCTTTGTAAAAATGACATTTACACATTGGAGTTACTCTTTGAAACAGCAAACTTGAAACATTAAACCACAATCTCTGCAAGATGGCTAAGGGATTTTCAAGCAGAATGTTCAGGCCCAGCACCAGCTTTGCCGGTACCTCTTCATTGAGCATTTGCCATTTTGATCCTGTTCTTTTGTGTCCAGTAGTGATCCTGTCTCTCTAAAATTGTCTATGATTATTTTCAGTTTGGCACTGGAATATCCTCAAATTTATACCAGAATATTATCATTGTTTTTCACATGGATATCACATCTAAGTAGTAATTTTATGTTTAACTGTGACATTGCATTTTGACACAAGAAGCAATGTTACAGACTGAACATTTAATGCAGTAGCTGGAATTTGGGATTACAGTTGACAGGTACATAATGCATTAACTCACTTAATGGCTCTGTTCAAAATGTATATGCAAGCAATATTGAAGGCTATTGGCCAGTTGCTTCATGAGTCAGAGCGTCTGGTGTGAGTTGATGTAAGTGGTGTGTCATTCCTTCCAGTTTAATTAAATGATTTATGGTATTGCAGCAGGGTCACCAGTTACTTCTCTGTGTGTGTGCATGCGTGCATGTATGGGGGGGGCATGAATGCGTGCGAAATACACACAGACACAGAAAATTTAGCATATGACCATATCTCAGAATTCTGTAAAAATATTTATATTGTGATGTGGAACTTAAATTTTAATAGTATGTTTTATAAAAAAATTATATTTTACTTGCATCTGTGATGCTGTCATGTACATTTACATTCTCTCAGTTACTTCCAGTCCTTTGAAAATTTCTTTAATGATACCTTCACCTGCCCCTGCACTTCCATTTGAAAGGCAGTGTAACCCTGCTGTTGCAGTGTTATCTTGTTAGATATTCCTTGTTGTAAATGAATAAATGGAATGCATTCTTTGGCCAAAGAAGCATCACAGAAGAATGTGAGACCGTTGTCTGTTTATGACAAAATGAATTTATTAATGCAGCCTAAGCGTGAAATTCAAAACTTCTTGGTGACGTGATACTTCTGTTTTGGCAGAGTGGCCGATCTTGTCTTGGAGACAGCATTAGTCAATAAGGAGTTAAAGATTTGTGACAGCTTTTGAGAATGTAATTTGAATATTTTGTGTTTGGAGAATTGAGGCTAACTCATAACTTTGCGCATATTTTCATGTTTGATAATAAATCACATTTTTATCATAAACAAATTTAGATTATTCTGTGTTGTACAATGCATTTTTCCTCTAAGTTGCAAAGTTCTGTCACTCGCTGACTACTAGCTAGTGACTACCTGAATTTTAAGAGGTGCTGAAAATACTGCTCTTTTACATGCAGACACTAGGTTCTTTAAACAGGTGGAGGTTGACGCAAATTATTTGTGAGCAGCTTCTAAAATTTTGTCTTTTATAGCTAAAATTTAAACTGTTTTCTTGCTTTCACTTCTGATTTGACAATGTGTAAGATGTTTCAGTGACTCTCATGGTGAATATTTGAGTTGTCTCTCTTTTTTCTGGAGCCAGGGTAGCTCAGTCAATATTGTGATGGGCTGGATGGCCAGGGTTCAATTCCTGGCAGGGACAAGAGATTTTTCTCTACTCCACAATGTCTAGAATAGGTATGGGGTTCACCTAGCATCCTCTCCAGTTGGTACTGGAAGCTCTTTCCCTAGGGACAGAGTGGCTGGTTCATAAAGGTGACTGTCCACCTCCATCTAGTGCGAAGGTCAATAATGGTGTAGCTATATCCCAACTCCCCCATATGCCTCCATGGTGTGGTGATTAATTATGCACAGGGACAACTTTGCCTTTTAACATATTTTATTCTCTGTTTGGTCTTAAAGTGTACATTATTATATACAGAGTTCTAGTACAGAAGTGGTGCAGTAGATCTGATTTTGTTAATAAATTTATGAATATTTGTCATGCTTGGAATTGTGACCCTGGAAAGTTTATGGTGAAGTTTGTGTGACAGTTTCTAACAAAACTAGACTTCACATACAATTTGTACAAAATATACATTGATAGTATATCAATCTTTATACATTTCACAGTGATAACACCTAACATACTATTCCGCACTGTTGCAGCCTTAACTATAATCAGTGATAGCCATTATATAATATGCTTTTCAACATAATTTCGGTCTTAATCATTAAGAGGTAAAACCAAAACTGTATATTTACTCATAGGAGGGTGAATAATTTCAGCAGATTTTACAGATAGCACTTTCCATTGTTATTATGGGCTCATATCTAGTTGAAATCATAGTGCTCAGCCAAAAGTCAGTTGTCGCTCGGTGGTAAATGTCCCGTGCATGTAACGTTACAGGAAGATGCACTGTGTAGTAGTAACAGAAGCAGTGGCAGTAGCTGTAGAACAAATAACTAAGTTAGGAATAATAATCCTTTAAAAATTAAAGCTTTTATTCATTAGTATTCTGCTAAGATGTTTTACATTTTGTCATACAGAGAAATTATTTGATTTTAAGTATAGGTACTGTGTTTCTTCTTGGTGGACACCTACTTCTGATAAAAACCTGCTTCTTTCTTACTCTTAACAGTTTTTTATACCAGTATTCCTGTTTTATTTTAATGATGATTTTATGTCATATCTCTTTTTGTTGGTTGATGAAAGAACAGAATTTACATGCAGAGCCCTCCATGTTTGTTTGAATATATTCTTCATATGTTTGTTTCTCTTATTTCATTTATTTTCCATAAATTGTCTTTCTTACAAAATAAAACATCTAATATCTACAGTATTCAGGAATGCAGTTTACTTTTCTATCTTTGAAATTGAACCTTTAAAAGGAATGTTTGTCTGTAGGGCCTAGTGAGACTTTGGTTGATTCATTCCTGGAAATGGATCCTGAACAACTGGAGCGGCTGGAGACAGCATTGCAATCAGAGCAGGCCAAGCAGATCCTTGGTGAGAATGTTACAGCCATGCTAGGTAAGGGTGAGTTGCAATTCACTTATATATTTTCCCATTAATAAGTTGACAAAGATGGCCATGGACTAGACACCTGGCTACTGTTACGAGTATACTCTACTTTACTTGGTAGTTCTGTGTCTGGATAAAGTGTTACTTAGGATCTCTTTGACCCCTTGTGTTTATGTTAAGCCTTTTTGTGGCTGTATAAACACACAAGCCTTCATGTGGAGAATCAGGAGTTAATGCCTCTGAGTAACATAATAAACTGTATATGTGTGTGTGTGTGTGCATGCGTGTGCGTGTCTTATAAATGAGGAATGATCATAATGAGGAAAAGTATCTGCAATGGACCCTATTTAATGTTCCTTAATTAAGGTTTTTCCTCATGTAACATTCAGTTTCAGTGATGCTAAGTCAATAATCTCAGTGTTAAAATTACCTCCGCTTACCTCAGTTTAGTGTTAAATGGGAGTTTCTTTGTGTATCTGACAGTGCACGGACTTAAGATGCCTGTATCAGGATATGCTCAGATGCCCCAAGATTTGAGCTTCTGCACCCAGAGATGTAGCCACAAGGGTGCCTCAAGGTTCCATCCTCACCTCAGTATTGCACAGCTTATCTAGTATAAATGATACCCCCATGGCACCTGAAATCCATCATGCTCTGTGGATGATGCTTGTATATATGCGACAGAGAAGTATAAACAAAAGTTTAAAATTCATTTTCTTTGTTTGGGAGCTGACTAAGTAAGTTACTGCTACATATTCAGCTCGTCAGATAATTGTTGAAGAAGACAGACCTGCCGTGTGAAAACAGTTTCTTCTTATGGCTATAAATCTTGCATCATGTGTTGCAAACATTTTTTTATGAATTCCACATCAGAAAGAGTTTTTTTTTGTTTAATCAACAAATGAACAGTGCCCACAATGTGGAGGAACTATGACTCCCCCCCCCCATCATTCTGGTATGACTTAGTCCCCTTTAATGCTCCCAGTTATTCCTCACAGGGAACTGACATTATTCTTTGTTTTTTTCTGTGTACTTTGAATTGTAATTCCTAGCAGTATTATATTCATTCAAAACAGCAGTAGTTTTGCTACAAATTGAACACAAAGCCTTTTCATTCATAGAAACTCATAAATACTTTTCTGTCTTGTTCTCTTGAAAAATTATACTTTCTGATTCCATTTCACGTATCTTTGATAAAGACATTATATGAGGCGTTTTTGTTTAATCCTTTCACTGCTAGTATGTTAAGTAACTCTCAGTACCCTCTGTGCTGAACTATTTTTTAATAAATCTTTTATAAATAATTTAAGTGCAAAGTATGAAAAATTGTGATAAAATGAAACTAATCTTACCCCAGACAAGGAACAGGCAGCAGAAGTCGCAAAAATGTTGAATTATTCAGTATTTTTCACAGGGGAAAAGTCCATTTAAATCAGGGTTGTCCAAGATGACCAAAAAAGCACATAATTCACTATCCTAGTCTTATCACTATGTCACATGTTGACCAAAGTCCACAACTTTATTTAAAACTATTATAGAAAGCACCATGCACTATACAAAACCATTTTTACTATCCCTGTGAAATACCCAGGTCACATGACCACGGAGTGAGTGCCTTGCTGTGCAGATGCAACCTTTTACATTTCATAAGCTAGAGGGCAGAAGAATGCAGCCATTGAAATGAATGATGCTTCATTACATTCCCAGTAGATGATTCTATGCACCCACCAAGTTTGAATGGGATTGGTGCAAAGAAACCTGAGATTTGAAACTAAAGTCACAATATGGGTTTTGTCGATTGCAGCAAGGATGCCGTGTTTTTCAGAAATCGACATATGTTGACTGCAACAGTGTAAGGGTTAATTTAGTCCAGTTTTCTTTAATTATAGACAACCTAGAGCAACTAACACTGGAAAGAGTTACGTAATTACTTAGAACACCACACACCAAAAGAACAGAACTACAACGTAATAAGTATCATGGAGGATGATATTGATTGATGAGTTTGCTAATACTACTCCTGTTAGACCTCCCATAGTGATCAGGAATATGAAACCTAACGACCATAGGCATGTTGCTCTATCTGATAGTTGTGATCTGTAAACTGTTGCTAGCCAGCTAAAAATTTTAATTCCGGTTGGCACTGCGATGATTATGGTTGCAGATGTGAAGTAGGCTCGTGTGTCAACATCTATTCCTACTGTGAATATGTGTATTTCTGTTTGACAAGTAACTTCACTTCTACCCAAACCAAACCAAAATCGTGAATGTATTAGGTAAAAAGAGCTATAGTACTTATTGTAGTGTATGCACAAATGTTTTGTACAGTTTAAAAATGCATTTACTTTTCAGGTAATTCTTCAACATCACAATCTCCACAGGTTCAGAACTTATCATACAGTTTACAGATTTCATTGTATTTTCAGTACAGACACAATAGTTTCACTAGATGAAAGATTCATAAAATTCCATCTGATATTTACAACACTAGAAATATTCTGAACTTGGTACATATATATAATGTTACAGTGTTTCTGACTGTGGATCTGATATTATATTAATTCAAGATGCATTGTTGTGAGATAAAAACGCAAGTATTTTTTTATTATGAAGTTCCAGTAAGATGTTTGATCTTACAGAAATGTTGGATGGAAGTGGCTACACCATGTTTTATCTAGAGTGAGTTTCACCATAAATAGCTGTTCAACAAATGTAAAATTTTATGTCTAATTGACAAATACTAGACAAAAAGAAAACAGTTTGATGAAAATGTCAAGTTAATTTTTAAAAAGGTGTTAACCATATTTTAAGAGAATTTGTTTTGAATTGCATAATGACTACCATTCCATCTTTATATATGCTAGACATGCTGAGTGTGGAGGAAGAGACAGCTCAGTTGACTGATTCAATTCGCATGGACCACTGTTATACCAATCTGTCACCATCATCTGCACCAACAACTTCAGCCACACCAAACCATCAGTACGGGCCTGTTGGTAGTAGTGATACAGATGCAAGTGACAACAGCTTTGACCAGGAACATGTTCGTCAACCCATTGTTACCTCTTCCACGCCCACACAACAGCCAGCTCGTACCAGAGGCCGAGTGAGTTTTCAGTATTATTCAAACTATGGGGTTTGCTATCTTTTGATCACAACTGTTTTAAAAATGTTTAAAATATTGTTCTTAAAATGATACTGCTAACCAAATAATTTAATCTTGAGCATTTTTAAATTTCATTTTTGTGAAGCATATGGGCTGTACAGAAATTCTTTAGCACAGTGCACAGTGTGTGTGCCACACAGTGGAACGTTGTATGTAAGAGCAGTAGTTACATTCTTTTGTGTGTAAATGAAGGTCTGATGCATGCCCACCAATAGTGTATTGACATTCATTGCAACAGATTGGAGTTCAGTAACGTTGTTTTGCAAGCATGCAGTGATTTAATTTCTTGTAAAGATAAACAACTCAGCTACTGACAACTCTGTGTGTGTGTGTGTGTGTGTGTTTGAGGGGCGGGGGAGAGTTGCTGTGTTCATTGCAGTGGACCCGTGAGTGATATTTAGGTTTGCAGAGCTTGCATGACAGGATGAGTGACCTTGGCTTGGGATATCAGATGACTTCCTTTCCCAGTGAGTTGCTTGTCCAAATACAAACCCATTGTTATGTCTTTGGACTTTTTCATGTGGTATACTGTGAAGTACCAGGTGTACAGCCAAAGAGTGACTACACTGGACGAACTCAAAGTGAAGATTACTGCAGCACTCAGCAGTATTACAAAGGACATGATATAATATGTGTGACAGGAGGTGGACTTCAGATGGGATGTATGCAAGGCTAAAGATGACACTCGTTATGAAGTGTTTCATACCTAACACCTTCCACTTGAGTGTAAAAGAGACTGTTTCAGATGATGAATAAAATACTTCAAACTGCTCCCTCTTATCGGTTTTTATTCCGAAGCTACAGGTGCCTGAAGTCCCAGTGTTCTTGTGGTGTAGCCTGTATATTCTGCTACTGGCAGATGTCATATTTGGGAGTTAGAAATTCTAGTAGGAATCATAACAACAGATGTATATTGGTGTTACGAGTATCTGTGTAAGATGAGAGTATACACAATTTATAATTCTGCCTTGTTCAATTGTATTCTGTGGTCCAGATACCAGGAGTGTTCTGTAGTTTTTGGCTATGTTATTCTTCCATATTTATATTCCGTTTGTAGTCCATGATTTTGTGTTCGGTGTTCTGACTGTTTCTCTGACATGTGATGTTCCGCATTTACATGCAGATCATATAATTTATGTGAGTAAGCTTCATAGTGTTGGGAAAAGTGCCGTACATATTCTGTTTTTTCTTGATTCTACAGATTTCATCTTATGTCCCTCACATGTATTTTAATGTCACAGTACCTTTTGTGGTTTCATGATATGCTTGAATTCTGTGTTTGGCTGTTACCGAGGGCTCAGTGTATGAATCTTAGTGGGTATCCACTTCCTGGTAGTGTGACCCTTACGCAGATTCATCTTCCGCATTGCCAAATACAGTATGCTCCAAAATATTCAGTACTGAAACTCGTACATCTCGAACACACATGTGCGGTTGTTGACGGGGCATAGCTCCAGCCGCACGTGATTCCAGCAGTGAAAAGGAAGGTGTGTTGTGCAGTTGTTGGAAATGGGTCTCTTGACAGAGGAAAAAGTATTCATAGTTGAGTATTATTTCCACTCATATGGAAGTGGTCACCAGACAACTCGCTTCCTTGGTTTTGAGCGGCCAGATGTTATCGTCCAGAAACTGCTGCATAGTACATGTGTGACGATATGGTGTGCCGTCTAAGCACACGGTATATTAGGCCTCTATTTCATTTAGGATGAGGAAGGCAATGCTCATACCATCACCCAAGAACACTACAGGGACATGATGATTGGAAAATTTCTTCAGGATTTGAGAAGATTCTATCGTGCAAAGGGCCTTTACATGAATAGACAGTGGTATCAACAGGATGTCTTTATTTCAGTACTCTATGTCTTGGCCCAAAGTTTGTCAGAGCGATTATAAAATAATGTTTTTTGTTGAGGATTCTGTTTTCTGGATGCAGATTTTCAAAACTGATGAGCCATAACAGGTTTGAAAATATTTTGCCCTTGCATTTTAGTGACAATAGTATATATTGGGACATGTAAGATTTGAGGCTTTCACGGCAGTGACTGTGAAGAAAGTAGTCTTCTGGGATTTGGCACCACATATACACGGTGCCAAATTCCAGAAGACTGCTTTCTTCATATATTGGGACAGTTTACACATTGGAACTAATATAATATCAGATCCCCAAGAAGGGGCAGATATGTTAAACAAATACTTTGTCAAAATAATTGATGATCTCATGGATCGAAATAGTAGTAAAAATGGGAATTTTGCACAGGTGCCGAAACAGAGGATAAATTTCTGTCCAAAAACAGTGTTTCTTTGTCCAGTTACTGAAAATTAAATAGAACGTGTAACAGAAAGTCTGCATAATAAGGTCCCTGAGCAGATAAAATTAAAAGAAATTAACTCTTTTTAAGAGGGACTTAAAATCCTGGCTGTTGAAACATTCCATTGATGAATTTATGTCCCTAAAATTCTGAAGTGAGTGTGTTATGGTTTTAAGTTATGACAAATATCTTGTCCTCACTTAATCTATAAAAGAAAATGTTGGATGTTGGGTTTCTTTTGGTATTGAATTGTTGAAAGTGGGACGATGTATTGTATGATTGATTTGTATGAAATCTGTAGGTAATTAAGTTTCGTAGTATTGCTGACTCATGTATGATATTTTAATATGTAGTAATTGACTTGTTCTATATCTGGAGGTTGTATCTCCAAATATGGATTCTTGGAACAAATAAACTGATTGATTGAACTATATAAGATATGGCTAGATCTGGGAATATTGTCAGATAAATTTTCAACGGTTTCTTCTAACAAATTTCAGATACACGTTTTGGCCCCTTGTCCAGCCTTGCTCCTCTTCGATTCCTCTAAGTAGTCAACTAGCTTGTAGTAATGTAAGACAACAGGGCTACTTTACAGTCTTCACAGTTGTGCCTTTTGTGACAATAATGAGACAAATTGTAACACACAACACTGTGTTGACATTGATTTTGCTTTGAAGATGTGGCATCATTGTAGGGGGGCAGTGAGATGCATTCATCATTGTCAGTGGAGAAGTTTGATGTGGTTTGTCTGAGGGTCTCTCTCTCTCTCTCTCTCTTTTTTTTTTTTGTTATTTCTGTTGTCCTTCCTAATAAAGTTGTTTGTATGTTTAATCTGAAACTCTGTTCTAGAAATGCTGCCTCTTTTTTTTTGTGCTGTGATAACTTATCCAGTAAGCATCACATAGGTCCACTCCTTGAAGCTTGTGAATTGTAATCAGTGACTACTTAGGGCTGGTTGATTTCTTGGTCTGAAATCTATGTTAAAACCAATTTATTACCATGTGTAGCTGTAGCTGAACAGAGCACTGATTTGGGACACCGCATTCAGCTTCAGAATACCTCCATCCTTGCCACCAAGACCCGATATATGGATCGCATCATTAGGGAAGCCATTGAGATTGAACTCCATCCCGACAATATGAACAGAGAGGGGGGTTTTGTCTCAGCAAGTCATGGAAGCATCTCATCTGTTCCCTAACCCCCCCTGGGGCATGACGCCAGATCCACAAGGCCACACAGTCCATGACCGACTCACATAGCAAAACCCCCAGCTTAAGGGTTAATGCCCTCCCACTAACCTTTCCTTTCTCCCCCGACAATATCCTATACCTGCTCTAACCTTGCTCCTGTCCCAGACCCTTCCCCTCTCCCTCTCCAGTGATTTCCCATGTAGACTTGTCCCCTCCCTTCCCTGCTCTCATATAGCTGAGTTTATTCCCAACATTAGTCTGCTTGCACCTGTTCTCAGTGTCTCTTCACTTGTGGATTTTCTTATTTTTCGTTCTACCCTGAAGATGGAGGTGATACGTTCCTCCGAAACGTCGGCTAACACCACATCTACACGGTGCCACATCCCAAAAGACTGCTTTCTTCATAGTCACCGCCATGAAAACCTCAAATCTTACACAGGTTACAAAAACTTTGTAGAAAATTGTCAAATGAACCATCAGTTGTTACCACTTCTTAAATGAATTTATGCCATTATACAGTGACACTGGTTGTTTTATAATTGCAGCAGCCTTAAAAGTGATGTTTAAAACAGTTTCCTTAAGATAATACTGCCAACCAAACAATTGTATCAAAGCCTGTCATATTACACATTGTTTCCAGTAAGGTTCTGTCTTTTCATCCACACATCTGCCTAATTTTTTGTCTTAAAATTGATTTGACCTATTCTGATGAAAGTTTGTATTGATGGTATACATTAAACGGTGTTGGGTGAACTTGGTTATGGTCTGTATTTGTCTGATATACACACAGCTTGGTACAAAACATGACTGGAACTGTTAATTTTCTCAAAAATGACTTATCATATTGTCACTTCAAATCACTCCAAATATTACACATAAATAAAATCTTCTACTCATGCTTTAAATCCTTGCACGCCAGCAAACTTTCCGTGGCTGTCTCCTACCGAGAACTCAGAACTCTGTCACTCAACTGTTGCTGTCACTTCTAGTTCAAATTCACAGCTCTCATTATGCAGCCACGGCATGGACCACACAGAAATCACAGTTCTTTTGTTGATGACGCAGACCACACAGGAAACATGGCATGTGATATGTCATCAGTCCATTGGTGCACTGACTGTCACCTTAGCAACAAGCTGTAAACATGTGTCTTATTGTTGCAATGCACTCAACTGAAGGTTGTTACCAGGTCATTGGCTAGAAACATTCTATCCATCCACATTACAATATAAACAGTTGTTACATGCCTGAAAAATGTGGACCTCATTTATGTCTATAACACTTTTACATGTTTAATATTAGAGTTATACAAGGAAAAATTTGTGGCCATGTAATTCAGTATTATAATCTGATTACCTCTGCATCATTGGATTTGTTTGTGCCATAATATATTCTGATTCCTTGGACCAATTCTGAGGAGCTGACAATCATGCAGCTAGTGAAATTTCCACCTTTTGTGTAAGCTGAAGGTACATTACCATGTTTACAAGACCCTGCCACTAGACTCAATCACGAGCCAGGTAAATACAGTCTGTATCTTCACATCTGGTTTGTTTAAGATTCGTTTTAGTGTTATTCACATATCTGTGCCTAGATGTCCCAACGGATCACTTACCTTAAGGTGCTGTATCGAAAGTTCTATAAGCGTTTTCATCTAAAGTTGTGTAATGCGTGCTATGTGTCCTAGCCATTATCATCCTTGATGTGATCATAGTAGTGGATTAGTATTTGCAATAAATGAACCTCACCACCAAACGAGTACATAAAATAAATGGCCCATTTGGAATATACATTTCCTTCATTTGCCTGTGGTAGAATTGTACAAATGAAGATGTTGAAACCTGGCTGCTTCAGTGTCTATGTCAGTTTGTTTTAGCTTATAGAGTTTTATTTGTTGTCATTATCTTGATACAGGGACGAGGACCAGGTCGTCCAAGGAAAGATATAAGTGCTGTTCGCTCATCACAGTCATATCGAGGATCGTCAAGAGGGACTGGTCGTGGAATTATTAGAACAACAAGGGGTGGCCAATTGGGAACTGTGGCGCCTGGAATGGTCATGGTACAGCAAATCAAGCCAATAAATCCACCTCTGGCACCACCACCCTCAAGTCCCTCTTCTGCAAGTCTTGTTCCACTTATTAAGCCTTTGGTAATAACAGACAGACGTCAGCAGATCACCTCAGCATTAACTGGTACAACAGGTGGCCAAGTAACGGTACAAAAACAGGTACATTTGAGTTTATTCTTGAGAAGCAAAGACTCCTAATGACACTTTCAGGATTGCAGGTTTCTCATCTGAGGTTTGAACTGGAAATCTGAATACATTACATCCTGTTGTTCATGCCATTCAGACGTTGCTGATATTTACATAGTAGATTTTGACAAAACTTAATGTTGGAGATTTGCAATAAAATGATGAGGCAAGTTTAATTTTGATTACATTATATCAGGTTTATAGAAAAGCATCATTATCTCAGAAAGGGCTTATTGTGCAGAAAATTGGTGCATGGTACATAATTAAGATTCCATTAAAAGCTCTAGCATATACAGTGAAACACTGATTTAAATTTTGTCTGGGGGACAAGCTTTTTGTGCCTTAAATGGGGCTTATAGAAAGTACACTAAAATGGCAATTAAGGCTTAATGAAATCAGTAATAAGGCACTGATTGTTGTTCATTTATTAAAGTAAAAGTTATTTTTCAGAATGTGCCCCTCACCAACTTTCCTCTTGAAGAACTGCAACTTTCTGTAGTACTATGCTACTTAATAATGATGGATGCAGCACAGAGCACTTCACAGTTAGATTCTTTGTACCATCTGAATAGTTTTCACTTTCTCACTTATTGTTGACACTTTGCTTTTCAATTCTATGGCCTTCAGAATCACTTCTTAAAAACTGTGACACAGAAACACAACACACAAAAAAACAGTAATCACTTCCAGCTGATATGGAGGGTGAGCAAAGTATGGCTGGAGACAGCCACTGTGTTGCATGCCATGCTAATGATGGCCTTGAGCTACCCAAGGGTGGCCACAAGCAGTCTGGAACTTGCAAAAGAGTTCCTTTCAATGCTAAAACAAGGTCCAAAACATGCATGAAAGTCAGAATTTCAGAAGTAAAATGTAACATTTAAATTGATAAATGTTAAATTGAGGAAAATAATATATTAGTAATATGGAACTTGAGCTGGGGCCACAAAAAATACACCGTAAATTCAGGAAAGTATGAAGTACAGGCTTCTTAAATTGGAGTTTTACTGTCTTCAAAACTTTTTTCAGACTGGCATGTATTTATTAGAATACAAGAAAATGATATGTATGACCATGTGGTTCACAGGTCTGTTCTTGTTTTTGTCATATCTGAAAGCTCATTGGTTGACAATTTATGCATAGGTTGTAGCTGTTCCTGTCTCAGGGGAAAGTGCTCACTTAGTGACCTTAACTGGTGCAAAGTTGGGGCAAATTATGGCAGGTGGCCAGCAGAGACTGTTAATAGCATCTAACAGAACTCTTCAGCAGCAACAGTTACAAAAGCAAAAGAGACCCCAACTACAGAAACAAAAACAACAAATTCTGACAAGTACTGGACCAGAAACTGGTGTCACTACTACAAAAAACGAAGGGAGTCAGTTGCCAGCACAACAGGATCATGGTAATCAAATAAAATATTATATATTTAAATATTCATCTGCATTACTTGAAAATTTATGTGAATTACAGGATTAATTACTAGTAGCTGACATGACAGTTAATACTGAACTTGAAGGTTCAGCACCACTAATTCCAAAGCCTGCCTATGGACATGATTTTGGGTCAGTTCCATCCATCTCTTGTCCACATAAATTATTTCTATAGGATCCATCTTATTGAGTTTGCCTGCTTGTTTTAGTGTTCAGTAAAGGCTTGATTCTTATTGCCAATTCCCAGCACTATTCTTGATTAATTAATGTACTTCATTATTTTGTATTATTGTTTAAAGTGTGTTTTATAGACCTTTTAAAATGGTAACAAATAATTCAAGGCTGATAGCAGTGAAGATTATCTCCAAAACCAACACATGATCCTGATATGAATAAGGTAATAACGGAATGCGAGCCTTTAACTCGTGAATGCACTTGCCAAATATTACTCCTAGAGGCTAAGTGAAAGTGTCATCTCATTACTGTATGTCTGCATTAAACTGAACTGTAGGAAGACATCTTAGTTGGTGAAGAAAGCCATCTTCTGGGAAGTGGCACTGTGTAGAAATTGTGTTAACTGACGTTTCGGAGGAACAGACTGTTGCACCTGCTCTAGCTAGTTCGCTCACGGGTTTCTTCTTGTCTCCTACCCTGAAGATGGAGGTGATACGTTCCTCCGAAACGTCATTTAACACAATTTCTACACAGCACCACATCCCAGAAGACAGCTTTCTTCATAGTCACCGCCGTGAAAACCTCAAATCTTTCATCTTAATTGGTGTCATCTTAAGTGACGTACACTGAATGTAGGCTGTTCATGTTAGCCTGGTATGTTACCGTACCAAAACCACCATCATCATCCAGTGAAAAGGCTTCTTGGGAATGCTTAATTTTTTTTATTTCAGTATCCTCAAGTGTTATACCTGGTATGACAGTTGCTCCAGGGCAGGCAAAGGTTCTTGTGGCAAAAATGCCAACAATACCACCCCAGTTACTGGGAGCAGAGCCATCTACTGGACTCTCTGAAGCGCTGCAGGAGGACAAGTTGCCAGGTAGGAAAATAAATTTTTGTAATATTGTACTTAAGCATCCTGTTGCACTGATGTAAATGCTAGTACATACTGTATATATTACCATTCTGAGTGCAGCTTTTATTTCTATCTTTAGTATATATCGTATCTCACTTTTACATGATTAGCCATATGTGGCCATCATCAGGTATACATTTTCTTGCTAAAATTGTTCCACTGCATGTCGAATTGCATATCAGATGTTCATGTGAAGTTAATTGTAAATCGCTGTTTGTTCTTAACCACTAAAAGTTAATAAAACATTTGTTGACATGTGGAATTTGTTGCACTTGATTTGGTTGTCTTGACATGGGTACTTCCTATGTTCCTCTGTGGTCATAAACGCCACACACATGGGCAGCTAAAGAACGTAACCAAAAATAAAGTAATGTCTACACAGCACCACAACACATGCAATGTGCATGCTTTAACAGCACCCGAACACCCATACAAGCAGCATATACTACGAAGCACCCGTATTGAGACAACTGAATGAAGTGCAACAAATTCCACATTTAACAAATATTTTATGAAATTCTAGTTTTTAAGAACAGACAGCAGTTTATAATTAATATGGCAAAACGTAATTTGACTTGTAGTGAAACAGTTTTAATGAGAAAACGTGTGTACCTGCTGTTGGCTGTATATGGCCAAAATACATCATAGTAAGATAGGACATATCAAAGACAGAAATAAAAGTTGCATTAATACGGTAATGTATAAAGAAATGTTTGTTATCAGATGGGGAACTGGACAGGGCCCTCTTCCGATTTAACTCTTTCATTGTTTAGCTGCATACATGTATGCCTATGTAGTGTCCACTGTCTGCACTATGGTCGTTTGAATATGTATTTCGGCATTCCATAGCTTTCATTTTAATACACATTCTTGGGACAGTTTTATACAGATAGCCATTGCTTTTGCATTGTTTCATGTTACGGAATTTCGTTCATACAAACGTTCATAATGAAAGTGCATACCTCAACATGAACTTGATTATTTGAAATCCCTTTCGACTAAGTACAAACACTTGAAGCAGAACAGAAGGAAATGAATGCAGGAACACCCTGTCAGTATCCCATACAGTCTGCTCTGGAAGGGTGGGGGAGATAAATCTGTAAGTAATTTAATAAACGTTACGTTTAAAACTAGGACTTGAGGACTGCGGTGAAAATGGTCTGTGGCAGTTTCTACGCACAGTCTAACCTGGTGCATTAAGGACTGCCTGATGTGCTCATGAGGTCCAGGTGTTGCTAGATGAGTCTGATACATGTTTTGAATCCACTGCCAAAGCTTCATCTATTATGTAGTGAGTTTGAGTGTAGACCAAGGTCTTCGTGTTCCCCCCTTTGCAGAAACTGCATGAATTGACGTCATGGGGATCTAGCCAGCCAGTGAGTTGTGCCTTCAGGTCCAGTCCAGTAAAATCTGAAGATTTTCCAGCATTTCTCATGCTATGAGGATGTAATGAGCTGGAGTGCCATTGTGCATGAAACTGCATTGTGTTTCTCCCCTGAAGTGGCACATCTAGGAGAGCTGGCATTGTATTTTGTAAAAACTTCTGTCTGTAGAGATGTGCATAGCTGGCAGCTCCTGTCCTTAACATTGACTGAAAACTAATTGCTGTTGAAAGTTGGATGATCCTAATGCATAGGGAGTCTCATTGTTCCATATGCAGTTAGTGTGGGAGAAGAAGATTCCATCTCTTGTTAAATATACTACATGAATGAAATTCAAGCTAAGTCAGGTTGTATCTTGGAAGAGGAGAGATTGCAGATATTTATTTGTAGTTTTAGCCTGCTAACATGCTTCTATTTTTATGGAGGTATTTCTGGAACACTTGTGTACTCTAACCATAATTACTCCACTTTTTTGTTGTTGTTGATCTTTATTTTCTTTCACCTATCTACTTTTCTGTTTGTTTCTTTCTTCCTTTTATCTCTTATTTGCATGCTTGCCTCTTCATACATTTATTCTCTTTTCTTTGGCCATTTGTTTCATTCTTTCTGATCAGACAACATCAATAATTGGTTAAGTTTATTTCTGCAGTGATGCAGTGTATAACAGCTGTAAGATTATTGATATTGATAGTGTTAATTGAATAGCTGGAGTTGTGCCTATTGGATATGATGCTGCTTGGGCCTCAGAGCTAGTCTGGACATTGTGGAGTAGAGAAAAATGTCTTACGTCTGTCAAGAATTGAACCCTGTCTGTCCAGGCTGTAGGCCTTCACTATACCAACTGAGCAGCACTGATTTTCCCCTTAATACAGGGGCTGAAATTATGTGTTGTGATAGAGCTTTGAAAAGTATGCACTTTTTTAAAGCTATGGACAGTTGAAGCAAAGACTGAAATTTTGTATGAAGGTAGATTGTAAATATAGAAACAAATTATGTGTGACATATTGTTTGTATGTCATCATCTACATCTGTGGAAGTGGTGCAGTCCTTGAGATTCTGTTTTGAGAACTGTATTGTACTCAGAATTTGTGTAAGAAATTTGTCCCCAAAAGAAAATAATCATAGTACTCTCTATGTAATATTTTTACAGGTGCAAGCAGAAGGAAAATATTCAGTATTCAGTCCTGTGACCATCACTTCACCAGGTTATCATGTCAACCCATGAGCTAAATTGCATTTTATTGTTGACTTAGGAAGTTACATTATAAAAATATAACATTAATAATATAAGATTTATAAGACTGGAAGTCTGTACAGCTAGAAAGCAGGTTTTATAAGTTTTGACCAGATCTCCATGTTTCTTATAACTGAAGGTTCTAGTGCTGTATCACTCATATTACTTGCTGAAGTGACACAGGACTGAATTTGTAAGATTTGGTATGTATATTGGTTTTCTTGCGTTAGCTATAGTACAGTGTTCAGGTCATGTTCTTAATGCAGATATGTGCACCTTGAGATCATACAGTGCTCAGGTGGTACTGTGGGCTCGAAATAAGAGGACACGACAGTGCTGTAGGTAGGCCGGCTACTTTTTCAGCCTTTCCTGTCCTGCCTGCCAGCCCTGGTAACAGTTCCAGAAGTGATAAAATCAGAGTTGTACTTATGTGCTCAGTTCAAGATTTTATATTTTTCTTTATAACCAGTGATTTACACTACTGATAGAGAAATTTTACTGTTGAAACATGCACATCAGGGAGAAATTCATCAGAAGATTCACGTGTGCCTACAAAATCTGGCATGTCCAAATTTATAAAGAATTGGTGGATTACAGGGTGAAACATGACATTGCCAGAAAACAGTGCTTACAGATGAGAGGCTTCAAGACATTGGGGCACAGTTACAGATTAGCTTTCATTAAATAAGATGATAGTCACAAGAGACAGGTGTGTGTGCTTCTAAGGCACCTAAATTAATGATTGTTTGTCCATGTAGAGTCAAGAGTTATGCATTCGCTTAAACCTGTTGGTGCTCCACAGAGAACTCAGTTTTTTGACTGAATGCTGAAAATTGTGCACAATGGACTTGTTGATCCTCAACTGCTCTTCATAAAAGATGACGCATACTTTAAGCAGTTACATAAATTGTCAGGACACATGAATCTGGAGTAATGAGTATTCTCTCAGTGCACCAGATTCTGTTACTTGACATAAGATTGGGGTATGATGTGTTGTAAATGCTATGTGAATTATTGGTCCATTGTTTCACCAAAAACCTTGAACTTGGACCAGTATGTTAGGTATATATTGGAAATACTTTTTGAACAGCTGACTGATGGTGGGCAGTTTGGCTACCTTCAACAAGACAGTGCTACTGTGCATACTGTATAAAATTCATTCAGAGGTGTTGATGACAGAATCATTAGTACAGGATTGTGGTCTCCAAGATTGCTTGATTTTGGTGATTGTGACCTCTGTGGGGAAAATTAAAAGGAAAAATGTACAGGAACACACCTCACACTGCTGAAGCACTCCAGATAAGGATTTTGATTGCTTCAGTTTTGGCTGATTAACTTCAGTGTGTTTTGCAGGGATTTCATTGAAGATGTGAGGCATGTTTAAGTGCTGCTGGTAACCACTTTGAGCATTTTCTGGAACATCTGGTGTTTTCTTATCATTTTACCTCTCAGTTTCTTCTGCTACTGTAACAGTAGGTTTCAAGCCGCAGAAAGGGGTCGATGTTTTAATAGTGGTTATGAACACACACGCCTCTTCCAGAAGTGACTGATTAGAACTGTTGGAAGGTATGATCGGTGAGGCCTAATAAGTAGCTGTGGCACACTGAAGTTTCCTTTTATTCTGAACACTTTGTAGAAAACATTATATAAACAAAGTGAAACATTAGTATTTGTTTTCAAGAGAAATGAACAAGTTAAGCCTGTTAACCTTTAACGTATGGACTTTTAAATTGCCGGGAGCCCTCTGCGGCCGGTATTTAAATCACCCTAATTAATTAACATTGCAAACTTTCAGAAACAAATACATATTTTCCGTTCTATGCAACATAGAAATACGAACTAAAAACAGTCTGAAAGACAATACAATTTTCTACATATACTCAAAAGGCAGTTTTTACAAACGAAAATTAACTGTGATTATATTTTATCATGAAATGCAAAATATAATCTTTATTATATATGTTATGAAATTCCAAAGGACTTACCCATTGTTTTTTCTTCAACCTTGAATCGTGGTGATATTGTAAATATAGTCACACTATATACAATAATATTTTGTTCAGACTGTACACGAGTTTGAACTGCATCACTTCACAGTTTATGATATACTCTGACGCGGGTGGCACTTCTCAAAGCAGACCACCTTACACAGAGCGACACCACCATTTTTACAATAGAAGAGTGTGCTCCTGTTTTTCTTATTTAGCGAAACACGTGTCTTTGTTTCCCTTTGGTTGGCCAGTGTTGTGAATGTTTCACCTCCAGTTGACTCAGTTGGGCCCCAGATAACCTTGGCCTCCCCCCGAGAAACGCCACTGACCATGATATTTGCCTTGTGTGATTGAAGAATCATCTTGAGGGAAGGGGGTGTCTAGCAAAATCGAATAAATTATGTTGATTGACAAAGGGATACTCTCACCTATTAGTAATACTTGCAAAATATTGATGCAAAGTAATTACGAGGGTCGTACTGAAAGTCATGAGCAGCAATTTTTTGTAAAGTAACATGCTTTATTATTGACAGACCTTTCTTTATTTTTCCATAGAATCGCCACTTCTTTGTACACGTCTCCCAGCGTTCTGGGAGTTTGAAAATTCCCCTTCTGTAAAATTCCGTTCCAGCCATCCAAAGACACTGACGCACTGCTTTCTGAATTGCCTCCCTTGTCTCAAAATGTTGTCCATGCAGCTGATCCTTCACAAATCCAAAAAGATGGTAGTCAGAGGGTGCCAGACCAGGGCTATAGGAGGGGTGTGGAAGAACTTCCCACCCCATCTTTACAATTGCTTCCAATGTGAGGCAAGTGGCGTGGGGGCGAGCGTTGTTATGCAGGATGATGATGTTTCATCCTGGACGTTTATCACCCAATGCACGACGGAGCTTGTGCAGCGTCTGGACATAACAAGCAGCATTGATGGTTTGCCCAGGCTCCAGGAATTCGGCCAGAATAATCCCCTCTGCATCCCAGAAGACTGTGCCCATCACCTTTGCAGCTGATGGCACTGTCTTTGCCTTCTTTTTTGATGGAGAATGCAAATGCTGCTATTCCATACTCTGCCGTTTCGTTTCAGGCTCGAAATGGTGAAACCAGCTTTAGTCACCTGTCACAATACAGAGCAAGAAAAGAATCATCGCCTTCGTGTCAGTATCTCTGCAGCAGTTCTGAGGTGATGGCTTTTCGCTGACCTTTTCTGGTCTTCGGTCAATAACCATGGGACCCAACGAGCACAAACTTTCCTATAGCCCAAGCTTTCAATCATCTCCTGTACTGCACTGTGCCGTATTCCAAATTTTCGGGCTGTTGTGTCCACAGTCACACGCCTGTCATCTTGAATGATCTCATCCACTCTTTCCTTGTTGTGTTCAGTTGAGGCTGTTCGAGGACGACCGCTCCGAGGCTCATCTTCGATGCTGGTGTTCCCATCTTTAAAATGTTTCACCCATCTTCGAACACTGCTTGCACCAATGCACACACTTCCATAAGCACACATGAGACCATTTAGAAGATGAAGTTTGATTATGTTTTGGGTTGTACCATGAAGTGCAGAAGGAAACTGACACATGCTATATTGAGTACTTGTGGTTCAGAATTGTCATATTGAGACAAAGTTGAACTGTTTAGAAAAATTATCTTCATAATATTTCAGTAACTGTACTCTTGAGATTATTATATTGCATTGTGTGTTTTCAGATAATGAAGCTGATTTCACACATTTTCCTGGCCAAGATGAAGAAAATGAGGATTTGGATGCATCTGAAGAAGAGAGTGATGAAGAGCTTGATGCTGATGATGAAGAATATGTGGGCCCTGGTGGAGGCTCAGGCCGACGACGTGGTAGGTTTGGAGCCAAATACAGAGGTGGTAATCGTCGGATGCCAAGGGGAGCTCGCACTAGGGGTAGTGGTCGGTCATGGGATCGTGGAGGTGCTCGTGGTCTCGGCAAGGTGGGGGCTAAGAGACGGGGAGGTCGTGGCCGTGGAGGACTTGGTCGACCAGAGGACATTGAACGGGCCCAGCGTTTAGAGGCAGAAATGGCTGCTGCACTTGCTGCAATGGACCAGTCACCAGACAGGGAATCATTAATAAAATCAGTGGGAAGTGAACGAGTTAGGTTAGACAGGATAGATGCTTCAAGAATTGTAGGAAAACAGGAAGGACAAGTGGAAAATTCAGACCTTGAAATTGGAACAATAAAAAAGGTTGTGAAAGTTTATGGGAAAGGTAATCTAAAGAAAAAACTCAATCTGAGCAAAGATGCAGAAGGAAAGGTGGATGAAGTAACAGAGACTAAAAAGACCCCTGAGAAGCCTGTAACACCGCCAAGTCCAGAAAAGAAAGTCCCAGTGAAAAGTCCAGTAAGGAAACATTCCACCGATGTACTTCAGCCACCATCTGCAACACCACCTTCAACTCCTACAGGCACAGAAGCTTCCAAAATTGATGGTAGGAAAAATTATCCTAAACGTGAAAATCGTAAACCGCCAGCCCACTTAGCAGAAGCTCTTGGACCTGCATTATTTTCCACACCAGACATCATACGTAGGGTTAGCACTGGAAGTGAGCAAAAGGCTACAGCTTCAACTCCAGAAATGCCTCCTGCTGAAACAAAGAAAGATGCAAGGAGTCCATCAGCCCCAAATGATGGTGTGTCACGAGTGAATTTGCCAGAATCAACAGAAACACCCTCCGTGCAAGAGGAAGGTACGTTTCCTACTGTCTCTTATTAACAATTTGATTTTCTGGTTGACAAATGCTTTTCTGTGTGCAGTGATAGGCAGAATGCAATGGATATGGTGCCAGCTGGAATTTACTTATCTAGCTGAGTTTATATCTTGGTCTTTCAGTTCAGTACCTTCTCTTACAGTGCATGTTTTGGACAGCAGGCCTTTTGTTGAAGAATAGTTGGTGTCTGTTGCAGGAAGTACTGGTGCAAGCATAACATGGCTCATTACAAGTGGTAGATTTTATTATTTTAGGAAGTCCTTAGACTCTCCTTCCCCTCCAACTGAAGTTACAATTTACTTGTAAAGGAAGAGAGAGATCCTCCCAATAGACACAGATTTAACTTTGTCCATGTTCCTGGCTCATGTCCTTTGCCTCCCCCCCC